AAGAAAACGTTATATTTCTCGTTTATTTTATCATAAAGGTATACTTTTTTCCTTGTTAAAATAAAGAGAGGGGTCATTTCTTTCAAAAAATATGAATTACCACATTTTCACACAAAGACTTTTGATATTACCTGTTATGCATGTCGGAATTGTAAAAAATACGACAAGAAAAACGGGGTAATACTTACATTGTGCTCCTGTATAATTTTTCATGCGAGATGAATTACAAAGAATTTGCCTTCATTTTAAAGATACAAGTCATATAAATTAAATACATGTTGATTTCGAATGTGATTTGACATTTTTGGTTCTTTTTAGCGCATATTTGGAGTAGAACAATAACGTCTGAAAATAATCTATTTTTAGCATTTCACACTGTTTTTGCACGTGCTCCTGTGTAAAAATAAGCATATAAAGGTATTGTTTTTAATGCCTAAAAATTAAGAGCAAGTGGTCAGGAAAGAAATGTCAAAGTTTTGAAAATTTCACACAAAGACTTTTCGGACATAGGCCCCCCCTTAAATTGTTGTTGACAATGATGAGACGACTTAAGCTCCACCTTTGTGCAGGATGAGACAATGTAATTCGAACGGAAGGCCTTCTACTGATTCTGATGATTAAGATTATTCTTTTTTTTTCTTTTCCTAGATGCCAACTTTGAGGCCTCATATTTCACTCATTTTTCAATGGATTTTGCTCAAATTTTCAGAGTTTATAGACGTTACTCAACTCTATCAGAATTTTGTTTAGTATTCCAAAAATTCACTTCCGCTTTTGAGTTATTTCCCTTTAAACGAAAATTTATAGGCTTTCATTTCCAGACAAAGGCTCGGAAATGGCAAAAGCTGGAGCAGAAATTTGACTGATTTTACACAAATGAAGGATTGAAGTTGTGCATAGCGGTTTTTGTTTTTCGATTTCCCTATTCAAAATGGCGCTATATAGGGGTAAAAAATTAGAACGCCTAAAAGAGCGAAAATTAACACATAATTTGCTTTTTTTCTTCTAAACTAAAAATATTTTGTTAAAACATATAGAACAGAATTTGTGCAGAATAACAAGATCTTTAAAATGATATCTCGAAAAAAGGGCTGACCCCTAAATTAGGGGATCTAGAAGGGCCAAAAGTTTTTTCCAGATATCGCAAAAAGTATTGAGAATATGTAATACATCCAAGAAGCAAAGTTGTTCAAAATGTCAAGCTTAATCTATTGAAGTCTATTTTATCAAACCGGAAGTCGTCAGAAAATGCATATTTCTGCCGTTCTTGACAAGTTTTTGGGTAACATATGTCACTGGAAGCATAAAACTTAATTTTCCGTCCCTCGACATCACTTCCGGTTTGCCAAAATAGCTTATTTTTTAAGGTTTTGATGCAAAATTGAAATTTTAAAGTGACTGGAGAGGACTTAGCTCATTGCTTTCTTTTGTCGACGTCACTTCCGGTCAAAACAGGACGGAAGACCTACTCGTTGCTTTGCTTTGCTCTAGTTTGATACACTAATTGCCATTTGCCCGAATTTCTCTCCCATGTATATTTCAACAGTGAAGGAATGCTGCGTAAATTTCAGAAGATAATTATGTAACGCCGAGAATGCCATGCCTTACTGAAAGTCCAAACTAAGTGTGTAATGGTTCTATGCCAACAGTTTGTCCAGAAGTTAGCATTTTTTTTTTAAATTGCATTAATTTTTATGATGTTTGCCCAATCCTCAAAATCAAGGGATACAGAGACTATAAAATTCAACATTTATGTTTCCCCTTATGCTATATACCAAAATGGGTCAAACAGTTCCAGAGAAGTTGAAAGTATTAAAATGTTAGTACATAACTCAGCACAGTATGATGAAGTATGGGGACAGAAGAAAACAGCTAGCAATAGTTCACTGGCTAAGTGGGTGACTCAAAAAAAAACCAACATAATACATGCACATAGTACTCACAGAGACAGTGTTGTTTTTGTGTTTACGGATGACGGTTCCCACGCTTGATTGACCACCGTCTTCATCCCCTCTCTTCCAGTCAGGCCCTGTCAGAGAAGAAACGTTACTCAGTCACAATTGTAACAATCTGATTTTAAAAAATCAAAGAGCTAGGTTCACTTTATGCATAAAATGGCCCTGTCCTTATATCAATTAATAAACTATCACCCTCTTTCCCATTTCATTTATCAAAATAAAGTAGAGACTTAGTATGTTCATTTCTTATGTTAAATTTTCTTTTTGAGAATCTAAGTATTGAAAAGCAGGCTTTGAAAAAACGCAATGTTCTTGAATTTTGCAGAAAACATGCATATTTGATTACCTTCAGCAAAGAATTAAAATATGAGCACAGCCCACGATCCAAAAATGAAAACATGCTTTTTAATCTTCAGAAATAGACCTTTCATCATGTTATTGCATATTTTGGATCAGAGGTTGTGCTCTGTGTGAAATATTGAAAAATTGCTTCAACTTTAGGCCATTTTCAAACTAATTTACAGGATTTGGGGAAAATGACGCATTTTGTGACGTCAGAATGCATTGACTAGAGGGAAAATTACGTCATGTTCAATAGATATATGGTCGCAAACAGTCTAAGTGATAAATACTGCATTTTCAACCTAAACTGATTAAAGTTTTGATTTTTTAGAAATTCTCAGGGCCAAAAATGGCCCTAAATGGGTCTTGCTCATTTAAGTAGTACTGTAAAACTTGGTTATAAAGAAGTCACTTGTACCTAAGAAATTACTTCTCTATATCCTTAATTCATTATATCCATAAGGAATTCATTCAATTTATGTCACTGGGATCTCAAGATAACTTTGCTATATCCATGAATTTGCAATATCCATGTTTGAACTAAACAAGTTTTACAGTATAATAAATTTCCAAAATTTGAAAGAAAAAACTGCAAAACTAGTAAAATCTTAGGAAACAACATCTATGGTACTCTGACCCAACTCTCATTCTGATTTGGGTATGGAAATTATGATTAACGAAATAAGAATATATTCTTAAATGACAATGGTTTTGTCATCACATTTAAACCAGTGGTTGTTAAATAATAGAGGATCAATACTGCTGCACTTCTGGATAGAGATTAGAGTTACGGTATATGTTCTATTTGCAAATATTCATTAACCAATGACAGATTAACTTTTATTTTATGACTAACAGACAAACACACACATCAGTACAGTTCCCTTGAACTTTCAGATAAAGTGAGTAGAAAGTTTATCATCCTTACCACGCTTGACTGAACATCCAACTTCCACGACCTCTCCACGCTTGAGCTGTCTCGGTTCAGTGATTTTGTACAGATTTTCCTGAGGGTACTCCCCATGAGACCCACAGTCCCATTTCACAACAACCATTCCTGTCAAGAATTCAAAAACTTTTTTCAGGACAATGGTACAGCAAATATCAAATTGTAATGGCTGAAAAAAGTACATGTAAATTAGTGTATACACATGTAGTACTGAATTTCATCTCAGTTTTTTTTGTCATCCCTTTTGCCCAAGACATGAGTGAGTATCAAATTTATGATGGGATAATTCAATGAAGAAGGTATTATTTCTTAAACCAAATTAGTAACTAGGTGAATTTAAATGGGGCAAAACTGCTTGCAAGTGAGAAAGGACAAAAATAATACCAGGCACAAATTACCCTATTTACAGTATTCTCTCTTTACTAACAATTAAACATACAGAATAAACACAAAGCATGTAAATTACCCTCAGATTTGTGGGCGACTACAGTTCCAGGTGAATTCTGGTCATCGTGCCACTTCCAGTCCTCTCCCCTGATGACTCGTGATCCCCAGGCATGACATCGGTTACAGGGCGGTCCATATTTATCAAACAGCTCTCCGTCTGAACGTTCCACTTCTGGAGATGAGACAAGAACATCCATTGAAGTGGGTGTGGGAGGGATATCCAATCTCATTTTCTCAGCTTTATTTGCGTTTTGATTTAAAGTTGGTTTTGATGGCTGTATATTACAATCACCTGGAACATTCCTAGGTTCTGATGAGCTGGGTGGAGGATGCTCCAACACAACTGGGGCGGGCTGAATTTCAGGTTGAGGGGGTGGGGGTTTAGGGGTAGGTGGTGGAGATTTTGGGGTAGGGGTCGGAGATTTAGGGGTTGTGTTGGCAGGCTGTGGAACAGTCACTGGACATTTGATGTTATCAAGCCTTAACAGCTCCAGAATTTCCTCCTGTTGAAGAAAAGGAATTCATTTTAAAAAAGATAGCTACATGTATTACATGGTAATGATTTCAGTCAATCAGTCAATGTGTTTTTTGATTCACTTTACTCATCCCAATGAATGGACGAGTCAGCTATCAGAAAGCCTAGTGTAGTTGTAAGATTGTCTTTAATCAAGCTAGAAGCTTTGTACTTCATAATATCTCAAATAAAGCAAAAATTTTACTTATGAAATAGTTTTAAGTCTACACTTTTCTTGCTACACATAAATATACTAGTATAATAGACCCTTAATTGATAACTGTGGTACTGCTCTTTTGCAGGGCAAAATGTTATATTTTGGTGAAATATAACGTAAAATTAATTGTTTAATATATGTCATTTATAAGTAATTATATATCAGCAAAAATTTCGCCATATGTTATTTATTTGCCCTGCAAAAGAGTTGTACCCCAGTAATTGTGAAGGGGCTAATTACATGGTATGAAACAGTAAGTAAACAAACCTTGTCTACATCACTGAAGTGTGATTTCTGTGTGAATTCATAAACAATGTCTGCAAGATCTCTCTGGAAATTTCCAGGCTGAGCAACAGCACTCTTTACCCTGGTTACAGGATCCTAGATAATATTAAGATATATATTGGAAAATGAAAATAGTTACAGCATTCCTCACAAAAGATACAGTATTAGGTAGAAGACAGATTGAAATGAATGAAGGGGATACCCAAACTTTCATCTTCTATGATTATATTCTAGATTAAGTTTTCCCTTAGACCTCTAAACTATAACTGGTTATTTTGGATCAGAGGTTGGGCTGTACATGAAATATTGAAGAAATATGTTTGGCCATTTGAAAGGAATTCATGAAATGGTAAACAATTTCAAGACATCATAATACATTGTCTAAAGGAGAAAATTACACAATCTTTAACAGATACAAGGTCACCAATGGTCTAAATGATAAATACTGCATTTTCAACCAAAATTGAGTACTATACAATAGCCAAGAAAAATTTTGGAGAGAGGATCAAAGGGCAACAATTTTTAAAAAAGAATAAGCATTTAATAACAAGAGGCCCATGGGCCACATCGCTCATCTGAGAAGCTTTGGCCATTCTGTTCTTAACCAGATTTCCCCCTTGTAATACATATTTGACCCCATCCTACCCCACTGATCATAATTTAGACAATTTAATATCTACGCTACCCCAGGAAGCTTCCACCTAAGTTTCAGCTTTTCTGGCCGAGTGGTTCTTGAAAAGAAGATTTTCAAAGATTTTTTCTATATATTTCTATGTAAAACTTTGATTCCCCATTGTGGCCCCGCCCTACCCCCGGGGGTCATGATTTGAACAATTTAGAATCTACACTACCCCAGGATGTTTCCACATAAGTTTCAGCTTTTCTGGCCCAGTGGTTCTTGAAAAGAAGATTTTCAAAGATTTTTCCTATATATTTCTATGAAAAACTTTGATTCCCCATTGTCGCCCCGCCCTACCCCCGGGGGTTATGATTTGAACAATTAAGAATCTACACTACCCCAGGATGCTTCTACATAAGTTTCAGCTTTTCTGGCCCAGTGGTTCTTGAGAAGAAGATTTTCAAAGATTTTTCCTATATATTTCTATGTAAAATTTTGATTCCCCATTGTGGCCCCGCCCTACCCCCGGGGGTCATGATTTGAACAATTTAGAATCTACACTACCCCAGGATGCTTCCACATAAGTTTCAGTTTTTCTGGCCCAGTGGTTCTTGAGAAGAAGATTTTCAAAGATTTTTCCTATATATTTCTATATAAAAATTTGATTCCCCATTGTGGCCCCGCCCTACCCCCAGGGGTCATGATTTGAACAATTTAGAATCTACACTACCCCATGGATGCTTCCACATAAGTTTCAGCTTTTCTGGCCCATTGGCTCTTGAGAAGGAGATTTTCAAAGATTTTTCCTATATATTTCTATGTAAAACTTTGATTCCCCATTGTGGCCCCGCCCTACCCCCGGGGGTCATGATTTGAACAATTTAGAATCTACACTACCCCATGGATGCTTCCACATAAGTTTCAGTTTTTCTGGCCCAGTGGTTCTTGAGAAGAAGATTTTTCCTATATATTTCTATGTAAAAATTTGATTCCCCATTGTGGCCCCGCCCTACCCCCGGGGGTCATGATTTGAACAATTTAGAATCTACACTACCCCATGGATGCTTCCACATAAGTTTCAGCTTTTCTGGCCCATTGGCTCTTGAGAAGGAGATTTTCAAAGATTTTTCCTATATATTTCTATGTAAAACTTTGATTCCCCATTGTGGCCCCGCCCTACCCCCGGGGGTCATGATTTGAACAATTTAGAATCTACACTACCCCAGGATGCTTCCACGTAAGTTTCAGCTTTTCTGGCCCAGTGGTTCTTGAGAAGAAGATTTTCAAAGATTTTTCCTATATATTTCTATGTAAAACTTTGATTCCCCATTGTGGCCCCGCCCTACCCCCAGGGGTCATGATTTGAACAATTTAGAATCTACACTACCGCAGGATGCTTCCACATAAGTTTCAGCTTTTCTGGCCCAGTGGTTCTTGAGAAGAAGATTTTCAAAGATTTTTCATATATATTTCTATGTAAAAATTTGATTCCCCATTGTGGCCCCACCCTACCCCCGGGGGTCATGATTTGAACAATTTAGAATCTACACTACCCCAGGATGCTTCCACATAAGTTTCAGCTTTTCTGGCCCAGTGGTTCTTGATTTGTGGTTCTGGATTTTTTAATGACCCCACCCTATTTTTGTCTTTTCTTGATTATCTCCCCTTGTGAGGGGACTTGCCCCTTCATTTTAACAATTTATATTCCCCTTCACCCAAGAATGCTTTGTACCAAGTTTGGTCAAAATTGGCCCAGTGGTTCTTTAGAAGAAGTCGAGAATGTGAAAAGTTTACAGATGGACGGATGGACGGACGGACGACGAACAAAATGTGATGAGAAAAGCTCACTTGAGCCTTCGGCTCAGGTGAGCTAAAAAAAGTATATAATATTGTATATGTACAGCATAAACAATTGTACTTTTTGATTTGAACATCATATGTAAAAGACAGTTGCTACACAAGTCAGTGCACCTACCTGATAGAGGTAGTATCGACCTAGTTTTGGTGCATTCTGGGTAGATAGTGGGTAAAAGCGTCCATGACACATCTTAGCAATGTCTTGAAGGAAAACCTAAAATTTGGGAAAATAAGACATTATAAAGCACGGGAATAAATAAAAGGCCTACCAGAAACGAACCTGAAATGGAAGCTTATATACATTATATAAGTATGTCCCAGATTCCTGTTACATACTCCTAAGCTTAGCATCTAGCACTTGATCTTTCATCACTGTATTTTTTGTTCTCCGAGTCCTGTTATTTTTAACATACTTTTTTCACATTGCATGCAATACAGATTGGCCAAGTCAAAATCAACATGTTTGTACATGTGTGTTTTGTCCCTGACTTGACATGCACAGATATCCTATAATGCTGTAAGCTGTGTCTTTATACATACTGACCTGGTTGCACTCCCCAACACCTACACAGCTAACACTGACTGGAGTTTGTTCCAGAACTGGGAGGAACTTAAATAAATCAGACTGCACCTACAAATATAAGGATTATTCATCTTAATCCAGAATTTTCATACTCCAATCATGATTCGAACTTTGAATGGGTATAATGAAAGAAACACTTATGAAAAGATATTTTCACCAAATGTTGTCTATAGAACAGCTAGTAATAAGCAAACTTTTTATCTTGTGTAAAAATTTAAAATGTGTTAGATGAATAGTAAATCTTATATAAGTTTAATTACCCTGATTGCATTAGGTTCATAATCTCCTCCAAAACAAGCATCCTTTTCTAAACTTTCTGTTGCGTATCCATCAGTAAAAATTATTATTCTGGGGGTAATTATGTGGCCATTTACTTTTACTCGCTTTGCTAACAAAAATAAAATTCATAAGTTGTAAAACATTTGATAAGATGCTATGATACAAAATATATGTATTTCAAATAAAATTTTTTTTTTTTTTTTATTTATAGTTTTTCCAATTTTAAAAAATTAAAAACTTTTGAGAGAGAGAGAGAGAGAGAGAGAGCAATAATACAACCGTAGTAACGGAAGTGATTTGAGAGCGAGAGAGAGAGGTATCAATTAAATAAATTCTTCAGCCATGATGTTTGTTTACATGCCTCATCAAATTTTTCTTGTTCATTGTTTTTCTTTGCTATTATTTTATTAGTGTCATATAATATTTTCAAATAAAATTGTCCCCAGATGGCCCAATTACAAAATGTTAGGATTTTTTGGAAATCAAAAGAGAGGCAAGAATACAAATAAAATTAAATTATACAAAAATAATTATATTAAAATTGAATTCATAAATTAAAGATTTTTTAAAAAGCAATTTTTAATCTTTTTATGCATTCAAGTATTTTTTTTAATAAAAAATCTTTAAAATCTCAAATATCTAAGGCTTGCCATTGAAAATAAAGCATTCAATTTTAAAAATTTAAATATTCACTTACCAAACTTATTACAGTAAGCCATAGCCATGATCAGTCCAAACAGCAAGGGAGATTTCCCACCAACATGGGCCTTATCTTGAAGAACAAAATGTAAACTGATAAATTAACATTTTTAAAGTTTAAATACATGTACATGTATGCACTAAAAAACCTGCATGACTGAATGCAATTTTATCAACTTTGCTCTCTAATCCCAAAGATGGCTAGTAACCTGTGGGCCTTGACAGTGACCTTAGCAGGTGAAGGACATTTATCTAAGTGGAATTTCTAAAGGTTTGAAAGGACAGATTTTAGTGGGAACTAAAGAGGACATTTTAGTGAAAGAAAAACTGGTTACCTGTAGATTTTAGCTTCACTGCTTGATCTCCCAAGAAGAAGAAGACAATTTGCAAATTAAGATATTTTAATAGCAGTCAAACTTTGTTATCTTTTAGTCTATAGGACAGAGAAAAAATATCTGAGAATTTGAGATATCAAGGATAAATTACATTGTACTAGAGGAATATGTCTTTGGGACTTCCAAATAACTTTAGCATATTCATAGTAGGCTTAATTGAGATATAATTGTTTAAGATACCAAAACACAACAGTATATAAAAGGCTCATTATAATAATGGCAATATAATCATGCATGACCACTTGATGTCAAGGAGTTACGAAAATTTTCGAAAATATACCTGGTAACACATTTCCAATACATTTATACTGTATGTGTACAAAAAAAGCAGGCTTCATATTTTAGTGGTTTTGGCATGGATTATAATTTATGAAAATGCCAACAATTACTCCTTTTATGAAAATGCCACATTATTGTGTTGATTTTTGAATTTAATCACACGTAAGTGAAGTAAACTCAACCCCATCCTGGGGCCTTTCTCCTTAATTTTTTTTTTTTTACCCAGTGCATCTTTGACAGGCATGTAGTCATTGGTAAAGTGCTGTAGGACCTCGCAATGGCCCCCGAATGTGAGTACAGCAATCATCTCCTCCAGGTTGTGTTCTGCAGCTGAATTCTCCACATCTACAGAATGAAAATAAAAGTAATACCAATAATCACTTGCAGACAGAGGTGTTCATTCATAATCTTAATATGACAGATAAAGATTTGGATCTGGACCTACTGCAGTAGGAAATATAATTATCCATAGGGGATCCAATGGTATAATGGATGAAAAAGTAATAAACTTGATAGGAAAAATTTAATTTTTAAAAGATATGCATGATGAAGAGTGTGAAACAAATACTGTAATTACAAAAATTAAAGATATAGAATGATATTTGTGTCCAATTATCTATTAATTAACAGTATCCTTACATTGTATATTTATGGAAATGAATCAAAATCATAACTTCAGCTCTTTAGAAATATTTATTAAAACATTCAAAACAGCACAAAGTGAGCGTTATTTAGTAAAATGTCAGCCTTTTGTGACTGCAAACATCACCTGACTTTATCTTCAAACCAAAAAATCACCATTAGAGAGATGTGTTAATTAATCTTGTGACAATAAAGAATAGGTTCTGGATCTTCTGCAGCTAGCAATATAGTTTATCCTTGCAGCTTGCAGAAGTTAACAGTTGGACAAGTTATCTCTCTTTACCAAAAGAAAGAATTAATTCTCTTTACATAAACAGACAGAATGACAAACAGACAGCTAGACAGACAGAGTGATTACTACATGGCACCTGAAACTAACTTAAAATCTTTGAGCTTAACTATCATGATGTTTAATTTTACATGAATCAAAGTTATGCAGAGAACAGAATTGAGACCTACCATCAACCATTTGTCCCACAAAATTCTCCACTTGTTTGAAGGTGGTGCTATTGACACTGTTGGAGACATCTAACAACAGCAGGGTGTACAGTCCTGTGGGGAAATTAGGATGGGAGGGAAAATCTGAAAAGAGGAAAAATTTAGAAAGTTCCTTCAAACAATACAAAATTATACACAATATGTAATACTGTATATCACTTAATTTTCGCGACACCTTATTTTGGCGAAATAGCCATTGACTCTTTATAAGCAAGACAAAATTTGGAACGACTTTACTTTACCGGTCCCCAGAAAAACGCGCTAAAATGTAGTGTCGCCGAAGGCGACTTCAGTATATATGAGATCGCGTGAGCGATCGAAAAAAAAATTTAAATACGAGGTTTTTTGACCTTTTGACCCCAAAATTGAATTCTAAGGTTAAAAGTTTAGTTTAAAACTTTGTTTTTAAACAAAGTTTTTAACCTCGTTCTCTGAAAAAAAATTAATACATAATTGTTTATTCATGGAAAAAATCGACAAAGAATAATTCTGAATGAAGCGCGTGCGGCGCATGCTTAGTGTCATTTCTTTCGGACTTATCCAATCTTCCATGTAAACAAATGAAGGAAATGCCTATGAATCTGAATTATGATCTTGGAAAAATTACAGAAACAACTGAATTTCTTAGCTTAACTAAAAGAACGATTCACTAACCCTAATCCATCGTATGGTATGCAAGGACTAAGATGTTCAGACGAAATCTCCCAGGCAGATGCGAAACTAACCCTAATCAGTCGACTAACCCTAATCTCTCGGAAGGACGCGAGACTAACCCTAATCAGTCGAATACTAGTGTAAGGACTAACCCTAATCTCTCAGGTGGGTGCAAGACTAACCCTAATCAGTCGAATAGTGTGCAAATTTAACCCATTTCAGTTGATATAGTTGTTACGTCATAGTCCAATGAGCGCGAGGACCTTGCGGATTTGGGAACTGGTAAAGTAAAGTCTACCCAAATAACAGACTACAAAGTTAAGTCAATTACTCTTCCAGTCAAGAATCTAAAAAAGCAAAAATTTTAAATCAAGGGAGAAAAAATTATTTTATTCAAAGAAGAAGTTTATTATTTATCGTTAAACATGTAAATTATCCCCCTTACTGCCTTAGAAATGATGGCATATATATATATTACTCTTTTGCAACAGTATACAGTGGAGCCTCATTTTTCCGGGTGCTTTGGTTCCCAGTCAATTTGTCCGGATGTGTGAAGCATCCGGATATCTGAATTACCAGTCAAATGAGACAAAATAATGTTAAAATTCTAATCCCATGAATAATCATCCGGAAACTGAAGCATCCGGATATCTGGCGTCCGGATATCTGAGGGTCCACTGTACATGAAATACCCCAGTACCTAAATAATTACCGTATATACTCGCCTATAAGTCGGTATTTTGGGAGTTAAATATTGGTCTAAAATTCTATGTCCGACTTATAGGCGAGTCATAAAGAGACAGTTATTTTTCTGGGGGCTGAAAGGTAGTATCTTATTGTATTTCCGACAATTGTCAGGGAAATTGTCTGGATATATAAGATAATTTATGCATTCTTAGATTATATATATTAAGTGCAAGTATATACATATTTTAATAATTTTATTTGCATTTTAAGTGGCATTGCTTTTATGTTTGATAATTTAAAATTAAATATCAGTGTCATTTCGAAAAATATTAATTGAAACCAGGTTAAAATATCAATGGATTTACTTGAAATTGTTACCAGATTTTGACAAAAAAAGTTGTACCGACTTATAAGCGGGTCAATAGCAAATCCCACTAAAATAACGTAGAAAATTACAACCGACTTATAGGCGGACCAACTTATAGGCGAGTATATATGGTATATACATATACATGAGAAGTGCCTGTAATGCCAAAATATCTGTACCTTTGAATACCCTTCCTAGTGCAGACATTAAGTTATGGTCTTTGATTTGTATATTGATGGATTCTAAAAACCTCTCTGGACTTTCATAGCTTATTGTCCCTCGAGACTGTGGGGCAGCAGTTGCTTCCTGCAGTTCACTGCTTGATGGCTGAAGGACAATGGGTTCAGTGTGTTGAGGGGTAGCCGCTAAGGGTTTGGAATTAGCTGCTAAGGGTTGGGAGTTAGCCGCCATGGTCTGGTCATTGTTGTTCGTCGAAGGTGGTACAGGCTTGAAACCGACAGGTTCTCTATTTTCAGGTTCCACTTTACCTGCTAAAATTTGCAATATATATTTTGAGTCTTCATTCAGATACAATTTACATTTCAATGGTTAGTTCATTTGTGAAAATAAGTAAATATATGGTCACCTCTCATTATCTCCAACTTAATGAAGCCAAGAAAATTTTTTTGGAATACACCACATGTATATGACGGCTTGAAATATTAGGGTCAAAATATATATTTTAAAATGTTCATGGGATTTACATCCATCTCACTATGAAATATCCATGGTATTTAAGATATCTATATTTGAAATACTGAAGTTAAAATGTACAAGTTTTTTTATGAGATCAAATAAATACCTGTAAGGTCATTTTTCAGCTCCCCTTTGTCATCATCAGATGGCTGCACATGTGCAACTGATATTCCATTTTGGGTTGAATTCACCGGCTCTGATGGTGAGTATCTTTAAAAGTTGCAAGAAAAGAGCTCAGATTATTCTGAAGGAAAAGTATAAGACTTAGTGCAATTTAAACAAGAGGCCCACAGGCCTTATAGGTCACCTGAGTATCGTGTAACAACTTTCAAATAATTAAAATTGATTTGTGTTTTACCCAAGAGGCCAGGAAATTCACAATTTATAATTTTGAAAGAGGCACCATTGTTTATCATAATTATAAACTTAGCATGCTTACTCTATTTACTTAATACTTAGAGGCAGATCAGAGTAACAAAGAGAAAATGCACTTCCGCTTCATAACCAGTTGTGCACCTCACCCCAAAAAAACCCACTGAGTCTGGGGCCACATATTTCAAAATTTTACAAATTTTATCATAAAATGGTGGATTAATACTAAAGAGCAGATTTCAAAGCATTGATTTATTTTCAGACTATGTAACCCCCCCCCCCCCCAACCCAAGGGGCATAAAAAATAACCATTTTGCTAGATGAACCTTTCTTCATCACAAATATATAAAACCCGAAGCAAAGGAATAGATTTTCAAAGAATAATGCATTTTCACTATATAATCAATAGAGCCCCTCCCTAACACCAGAACCCCTGACCCTAGGGCCATAAAATTCACAATTTTGGAAGTGGCACTCTTGGTCATCATAACTATGTGCTTAGTTAGTTTATTTAATACCCAGAAGTAGAAAAGAAGATTGTCAAAGAATAAATGCATTTTCACTATACAGAATCAATAGAGCCCGGCCCTAACACAAGAACCCCTGACCCTGGGGCCATAAAATTCAGAATTTTGGAAGTGGCACTCTTACTCATCATAACTATGTGCTTAGTTAGTTTATCTAATACCCAGGAGTAGAGAAGAAGATTGTCAAAGAATAAATGCATTTTCACTATATAATCAATAGAGCCCCACCCTAACACCAGAACCCCTGACCCTGGGGCCATAAAATTCACAATTTTGGGAGAGGCACTCATGCTCAACATAACTATGTACTTAGTTAGCTTACTTAATACCTAAAAGCAGAGAAGAAGATTTTTAAAGAAAATATGCATTTTCACTATATAATCTATATAGCCCCGCCCTATTGTGGCACAAGAACCCCTGACCCTGGGGCCATGAATTTCACAATTTTGGTAGAGGACTCAATGCTCATTACATTCATGCCAACAGTTTGACTGCTTGATGTCCAGGAGTAAAGAAGAAGATTTCAAAGATTGCAATAATTTTGGTGGTTTTGGTCCCGCCCCTCAAGCTCCAGGGGGGCGGAGACCATAAAATTCAAAATTTTTGTTCCGTTTCAGCCATAGATGCTGTATACCAAATTTGGTTAAAATTGCTTCAGTGGTTTTAGAAAAGAAGCTGAAAATGTTCAAATGTTAACACACGACACACAACGTACGACGACGGACAAAAACGGATAGCAATAGTTATATAGAGTTCTTTAATTAACCTGCTGAGTTTGCCATGAAGTACAATTTAGTACAGTACATTGTCTACAATCATTTTACATCACTTATATTTTTTAGTGCACAAGAACTTGAGTGTGTGATATACCTGACGGTTACTGGTTGATCCTGTGATGCCCTCTTTAACCTGCCTAGTGAGGGACTGTGGTTGTTGGGGCTCCGCCGGACAGATCTCCTCCTTCTCCTCCTGGGTCCCACTTCACCAGAATCTTCACTGGATGCTGCATGTATTTATGAAAGGAATAACTATCTTGTTCTTTTTTCAATTTTGTTTTATTTTGTGATCAATCACTTTGCTTGCATGATAATTTGCATAAACAGGCATTTATGCATAAAATTATCACGAGAGCAAACTGATTGATCATCATCATAAAACCATTAACAAGAGTTTTTCCTTATATTAACATTTAAACTTGATGTTTGATTTCATAAAAAAATATTCAATTATAAGAAATTTAACATTCCCGTCAGGTGTATGTACTACAAAGCAACACACAGTGAGAAAGCATGCAGTGCTGAGCAAATAGCTTTACGAGGTTATAAAGCTATTAATTCATTTGTATAGTTTTATCTCAGACAAAGACGTTGGAAATGTAAATACATGTACATATAATTTATCATACTGAAACTTTTGAGCTATGAAATTTGGAAAATTTTTGAAGGAGGGCATATGAGATCAGAGTATGTATAAAAATAAAAATTACGATATCAAAATGTCATGTTTTTTGTAGTTTAGAGATTATGGTTGAGAGGGCGGGGCTTAAATGCCTTTATAATCAGTTGGCACAAATTGCTTACCTTTTAAGGAGAAAAACAGATTCATTTTTTCAGCTAAGTTTGTACTACTGTTATAAAATATATATTACAAATGATCATATTCAATACAAATCCAATTAAAAGCAGTCATAGCAGATTGAGAAAGTGGTGTCTGAAACAGTTATACTGAAGCAAAGGACAAAGAAGCAAGACATGAAACCTTATTTAGCAGCAGACAAAGTAATGCAGAAGTACAGTAAAACTCGGTTATAACAAAGTCACTGGGACTTATGAAATTACATCACTATATCCGTAATTCATTATATATAAGGAATCCTTTCAATTAGAAATTTATATAGCTGGGGATCCAAGATAATTTTGCTACATACATGATTTCCGTGTTCATACTAAACGAGTTTCACTGTATTGCTGAAAGTGTAAGATTAGTATCACTAGGTTAGCTTATTATCACTCTCTCACCTGAGTGAGTTTGGATACTGTCAACTGACCCGTACAGACTTGTTTTGAGACGAGAAAGTCGGGAAAAGTCATTAGGTCCATTCAGATTCTGAGAAATTCGTCGTACAAAGTTGTTGGTCTTACGTGAGGTCTTTCTGGTGGCTTCAACGGAACTTTGTAAATCGTCAACGATATTCAATATCTCGGAAGTGTCTTGTTGGAGATTCCGAACATATGAATGGATTTCTTCAACTCGGGATTCTAAAGATTCAAACCTCTGATGAAAGGCATGGAACTGTTCCTCTAAAATTCGCTGCACTACAGTTGTTATAATATCATTACCGAAAGCCATTGTTATTCTTTAAGTCATCCCCACCAATCTAAAATAAAAATTAAGATTTAACCTGACTAAATGAATAAATTCCTTTCTTCAAAATAACAATTCCAATCAGATAAAAACAATATTGAGAATTTCAACAACAACAACAAAACTAGACAGCATGCTGAAACACAGTTATAGCATATTTGCTCTAGCTAGCTATTACAGTCAATAAATATACAATTTCTACAAAATACAAACTATTGTTCAAACCTTATGTCTCCACAATCCACATTTGTATAGATCACATATATTTTTTACAAATGAAATTTTAACTTTAATATGTTTTCACCTACCAGCCTTTAGAATACTGGTAATCCCTTTGGCTTAAAGCAACTTTCTTTTTCAATATCTACCCTCCAATATCAAAACGAAAGTAGTTTTGTTCTCTTCTATTTTTTGCCGGGAAGGAAGAATAATAAACAAGCCATAAAGAATGTACTTGAGCAAAATCAAACGCTGAAATGATAAATATCTGATATCCCTTTACACTAAGCATTACCTAGTCAGTAAAATATCATGAAAGTTCTTGGGATGAAACTGAAACTGGAATTCCCCAATCTATAAATAGAAACAGGATTCTTATTTTGGCGAAAATTTTGTTTTTTTCTTTAAAAACATCTAAATAGTCATTAAATTATTTTCTCTATTTTTAGTTTTAAAATAATCTTTTTAACTATTTGTCTTTTAGTAAATTTTTTTTTTTCATGTCACTATATAAATTGACAACATCATGTATTATATATATACACTGTATCATATTTTGTAATCAAAAATATATGAAGATTTTAATAATATGTAGGATATTTTCCTAAATGTCAGTTAAAACACATATATCTGCATATACACATTGTCATACCAGATTTTTTTTTACAGTCCTCAAAAAAGGCACTCTACATCTTTTTTTTAATAAAAGGGAAGTATTCTTCTGTTGCAATATATTTTGACATGTATGGTTTTATTTTATTTTTTTAAACACAGAGGAAATTTCAATCTTGCATGTAACATATTTAGCAACAGCTAGATAACATAAAATTTCCTGCTTTCTTTTTTTAAACGTATACATTTTAAAAAAATCATAGAATCCTCTAGGTTAAAACTCTGTGACCATCTAAATAACAAAAAGGAAAAAGAAACACTATTTTACAACAATATTTTTTTAATATAATAAATTAATAAAATTGTATAACATGGATGCCAAAAATGAACATTCCTACAACAATTCAAAGGTAAAAAGAACTATTATTAATCAAAGTATCTATAATATAGAAAATTAATTAAAACAAAAATAAACATCACATTAAATTTCTAATCAGGACAAAAAAATATGAAACACTATTTTATAACAATAATTATTTTAATATAATAAATTAATAAAATGTATATAAAAATGATCCTTGATTAAATCTCTTTTTGAGGCAAGATTGCAAAAATTGTAACATTTTACAGAATTTTCAATTTAAATTACTAAGGCAACATAAAAAAAAAAAACACAAAACTGATAATTATGTATCTCAGTATTATTGTGTGAATTATATTAAAATAGTGTGGATTTTGAATCTATTTTTAGTAAAATAAATAAAAATAAAAATAAACATTACATTAAATTCCAAATTATATTGAAATGTTCTCAACTGTAGGAGGTAGCATTTTGACACAAAAAATTTTATTTTTAAAAAAAGGACAATTTTTTTTATCATTTTGCCTAAAAGCAACTGAAAAGGATAGTTACTACCATTTTATATTTTAAACAAAAACTATTTTCACATATAAAGACTTCATAATAATAATCATTAACCCTTCCATATCACAGGGAAAAAATCTTAATGTAATACAGCAAAAATTCTCTTAAAAATTGTGAAAGTTTACATACATGTATGTGGGTGACACAGATCTAAATATAAAACTAAACTGCAAATTTGAGGAAAGAAAAAAGTTATGGACGGCATTAACGGGGACAAATAAATATGAAAGATAATGGCAGCCCCCCCCCCAAAAAAAAACACACAACACATGATTGTGATCAACAAACATTTAAAACATATAGCTCTCTTATTGCTGGGGCCACAGGGACAACATTTGACAACACATTAGTACATGTACTGCATGGGTAAAAAATATCATTAGGTGAAATTCTGACTAGAGTTTGTGTTGTATGTATTTTATGTACAAAATCCTGAGCACTTTTATTATATGTATATGTAATGATACACATACATTTACAATGTTTCTGTCTGAAGGGAACAAATGTCAAAGTATATTATAACATCTTTGTAGCTCATATACTGGGAGAGTGGTGAGAAGAAATTTTAAAAGCCATTTGCAGATTTCCACTAAATACACTGTACATGGTGTAAAAATACATTGTACACAAGAAAAAAAAATGTTCTAAGCATTAGCATCATCATTTATCATCTTTACACAGGAAAGTAGGAAGAGGTAGTCTGCCAAACAAACAGGAAATAACAGCTGTTTTACTCTCAGGTTGAGAAGTTTCCCACACAGAAACATCAAGAAGTGATTTCAATTTGATTGGATAAGTATGATAGGACAAAGGTCATGTAGGGAGTAGAGAAGATCAAAAACACTTGGCTGCAAACAAATATATCAAAGCAAGTAGCCCCAGTGAATATATAAATATATATATACATGTACATGTATACACTCCCACTATATGCTTGATTAATACCAACATCTGCATATACTGATATAGATACAGCAAAACTCGGTTATAACGAAGTCACAGGGACTTATGAAATTACTTCGCTATATCCGTAATTCGTTACAACCATATAAAAAATTCATTAAATATATTTAGCTGAAGATCCAATATGACTTCGCTATATCCGTAAATTCGCAATAACTGTGTTCTCACTAAATGAGTTTTGCTGTACATTACTATCAAAGAAAGTTTTTTTTTCAAACCTGTAACTATAAAACACCAATAAATCTAAATGCAAAAACAATTCCCAAGACAGTAAACTTGTCCAGGTCATAGCTTGTCTAGAATACCAGGGTGTAAGTATGTACTTGATCTAGCACTTTACTATTGTGACGTTGGTAACACGTACACCAAATATAATAAAATAAGTCAAGGATTTCACAATCCATCATCTAACTTTAAGAAATATAAATGTACAAGTAAAGGGTTAAATTTCTCAGGTATAGATATTTTAAATACAAGCCAAAACAACAGAAGTTTCTCAAACACAATCACATTACAGTTCATTTTTTTCTCTGCTCAATGGTATGAAATGCTTAGGTTTTTTTTAAAAAGATATGTCATAAAGAATTGAAATATTAATTTCAACATAGCTTGTTAAAAATTTTGACAGAAATGAACCTCAAAAGAGCAAGAGCCAATTTGGGCCATATTTGGCCCTGAGAATTTCTGAAAAATCAAAACTGCTCAGTTTAGGTTGCAAATGCAGCATTTATATCTTGGGATGTTGGTGACCAAGTATCTATTAATTGTGACGTAATTTCCCATCTAGTCAATGCATTATCACGTTATAATATGCGTCATTTTCTTCATATCCTGTAAATTCCTTTGAAAATGACCTAAAGTTGAAGCATTTTTTTCAATATTTTATATACAGCACAACCTCTAATCCAAAATATGCAAATACATAATGAAAGCTTTTCTTCTGAAGATCAAAAAACAAGTTTTATTTTTTGGATCGTGGGCTGTGCTCAAATTTTAATTCTTTGCTGGAGGTAGTCAAATACGCATGTTTTTTGCAAATTTCAAGAACATTGCAAATTCTCAAACCTGTTTTCCAATATCTTGATTCTCAAAAACGAAATTTTATTATAGAAAATGAAAGCACTTAATGTCTACTTTATTTTGATATATGAAATGGGAAAGAGGGTGATAGTTAATTAATTGATATAAGTACAGGGCCATTTTATGCAAAAGATGGCTCTTGCTCTTTTATAGAGAGAATAATCTACATTTATCCTATTTGATTTATCTCTTTTTATCAGAGGGACAATGAACCTATATGTACATGTCACAGGCACTTTTTCAAAAATAATTTTTTAACCCAAAATATAATGATAATACAAGGTATCTAACTCTGGATAACAGTCATTACCCCCTCCCTAGAAACCTACTTTTGCAGAGGAAATGCTCTGGCAAACTGTTTATCACCATTGTCTTCTACAAAAGTGTAAATGAGTGCGCTTTTGAGGAGGGGGGTACTGACTGTAATTAGATACCTTGTGTTATTATTATACTGTGGGTTAAAAATTTATTACCAAAACAAGTGCCTGTGGTACATGTACATGTATTAAGAAAAATATGCCACATTGATCATTGAAAAGCAGTATGAGACAACTTTCATATTTTTCAATCATAAAAAATGCATTATCTGTACAAGCTAACCACATTGAGCTATAGCACAAGTAAGAACAGAATGGGAATGCCTACAGTGCTGTTGCTGTGGGTTACATTAGCTTTCTACAACAATATAACAATGCTAAAGTAAGCTATGAATTCAGTTTTCAGAAATCATGAGCAATGACTGAATAGGAAAAATTAACCCTTCAATCCTTAGGGTTCATTTTCAGAATTTATCTAACTCCTTGGGTTCATTTTTACACTCTGAGTTTATCCTCACTCCCTCAGTTTGTTTTCCACACACAGAATTCGTTTCTAGTGTACATATTTTATCCTAACTCTCTGGGTTCATTTTCATACACAGACTTGAGCGTTTCTACTGGTTTCTTCTCCTGTTCCTCTAAGTACGCCCCGTCCTGCATCTCGTGTCGGTTGTACAGGAGAGAACGGAATCCAAACTCACTGATCCCCAGGTCTGACGACAGAAGATCTTGCCAGTTTATGTCGTAATTCTCAACTGTAGCCTTGAAAATGAAAAACAGCATTTACAATATATACTGTAGATTTCTAAATATAAGCTGGGAAAAAACTGTCGTTATTTTGTGAGATGTGCACCTTGTTAAAAAAAAATAAATTGCTTTTATTCTCATATTGCTGAAGTCAGAGTGAAAGATCTTGATCAAAAGAACACTTCTGAATTCAGATTCCTCTGATTTTGCACCTACGAATCATTTTGGTAAATAGAGTACTCGCACAAAATAAGGAATCTACAAATACATACATGATCAAACTTCCTTGATCCAATCATCTCATACTCTTTACATGCATCAAACTCTCTCGGGTGATCCACCTCCATCCTCAGAGAGAATTGTGGGACATCTTCTGTTCCGTATGGAGGCAAAACAAACTGGATATCAAACTGTTTCTCCAGCCAGGCAAAGTTGTTAGCTATCAGACCATACAGACAGGTCAAATCAGCTTGTCCTGCAGGAAATGATAAATGTTGAGATAAGTAAATTAACAGTTGTACCGGTACTTGTATATAGTAAAGAAAATGCAATCAATTTCATAGGAAAAATTAAAGTTGTACATGTATTAGAGGAGAAATACCCCCCTCCTCCAACCCCATGCTTTGGAGACACTACATCTGCAAGTATGGATGTCCTTGGAGACTAGCTTAATAATGTTCTAAAGGCTGAGCTTAACTATGTGTTTACAATGTATAAGGAACACAAAAGTGACACAATACATACCAGTAGGAGAATCCAGAATGTTACTGGCAGCCAGTGTAAACAACTGTTTCATGTACTCATTGGTCGCACCCTCCAATATAGTGTGGTCACTGATCTCAAAAATCCTATTACATGTATATAGAATTAAAACATTATCGTATTACTTGACAAAGTTGATTGGTATTAGGTTTAGCATGTTTCAACATTTTTGAGTCTTTTTCCATATCATATAAGCCATATTATTGATTTGTTCATTGTAATCCAAATAAATTTTTACCCCTCTGAAAGTATTTGGCATTCATATTCAAGAAACTTCCAAAATACTGACATTGTGTTATTGAATACATTTTTAGCACACAATTTCCTGTACACAATACTAGATAATACTCACACATTGTTAAGGTAGGCAGTTATTGACTGGATTTTACTGTGAACCCACTCCTTGTTTTCCTTACAGAATTTTCCACCCAGCTTTGGTGTGGCATTGCTCTTAGCTAAAAAATAGGATCATAACCCATCAGAAAAGAATCAAACAATTTCCAAAATTAAATTTTACATTTAGCAACATCAATCAGGTAAGGTAATAATTTCTCTGCTAAACAACATTCATTTTGAAGTCCTCTAATTACCTTTAGTGTTGATAAGTACGTAATAAATACAGTCGGCCAGAGACTTGAGATCCTCCACTTGTTTGTGATTCAGAGTGAGGCCAGTAATTCTCTCCAGGTAACCTTTGTCTTGTAGTCTCCTCCTAAGGCAGGTGCCTAAAATCTGAAACAATCAAAGAAAAGAGTTTATAGCATAATTCCAAGAGGGCATCCACCATGCAAAATGCTGCTATCTGAACTGGAGAAAAGAGATAAATGGGAAAAGTTAAATGAAGAATATCATTAGATTATATATAACAAAAGAAAATACAGTTTAAGAACAATTTATTTATAAACATTCCATATTGGACATTGGGGACTGACGAGGTTTACAGTTTAACAAAAAACTTTCAGCTAAATAAGCACTGAAAGCATATGCATCCCAAGCTAGGGTGAGAAAAATTTACAGTTTGAATTTGATATATTTTGCAAAAAACATGAAAAGACACACTCTGCAATGAGTGTTAACATAATCACACTATACAAAAATGATATTTCCCTCACGAAAACATGGGGGAAGATTGGTGAAAATTTAATTTTAATATGAATCTTTTGTAATGATATAACAGTTACCCTTCATACATGTACCCTGTGATACATGTCTCCCCTTTAAAAAATCCTTCAAACTCTTTAATTTTTAGCATGCATTAAATTCTGTTTAAAAAGTTTAAAACTTCAGTGGGCTCACTTTTGATCTCAGTCTCACTTTTGCATTATATTATACTTTTGTAAAAGTGAGACAGAGATCAAATTTGAGCTGGCCTAAGTTTTATGACCCCGGAGCCTGGTTGTGCCCGAGTGGCAGTACCTTGAGTCCAGCACAGTGGTGTGGTGTTTTGATGTTATTGGCTATACAGTGCTCCTGTAGAGCCCTCAGTATGATACAAACAGTGTTAGGGATGGAGTAGACATTGTCTGACATGTATCCCACTACCTGTCTCAGCAAGGCATCCATTGCCTCCTTCTCACCTGACAAGAAATGACAGAAATGTTTATCCTCTAATAATAAAGCAGGCAAATAAAAGGAACCATAACTCCTACTAAACTGGATGAAATGAACATCATATTTAGAAAAGTCACACTAAATGGACATAAATACATGTATTATACAAATTTTCATGAAATAATTTTGTCACATCACTTGAGAGAATTCATATGGTTACTAGATGACCAATTCTCATTTCAAAAGATTTCTCTCAGACCGACTTTTCAAATACACAACATCTACATATAGATTACAGAAAGAATCCACTTTTCTACCTGAGGTATACTTACTTTCTGAAGTTTTAGATTTGTATGGAGCGGAGAACTGGGGTCTACATCCACAGGGCAGATCTGCCAATACAGACATGATAGGACGGATGGGTGGACCTGTATTAGAGTCCAAAACCACAGAAACTAGTAGTGGCTTCAATATGCTAAAAAAAAAAATCAAGCATTTAAATATAACCTTTTTCTAAAATAAAGAGAAAATGAATACATGTACATTGTATTAATTAAATACAGTCAAAGCTCATTATCTCAAAGTCAATGGGATTGAGAAAACTTAGAGATATTCAAATGCTTGCGATATCGGGGAGAGAACGTAATAATAAAGAGGTTGGGACTTTCAAATCACTTTGACAAATCCATGGTATTCAAGATAACAAAGTCTGACTGTAAATCTTAAATCTTAGATTGAAAAAATTATATATGTCCCTTGAAAAAGAAACATTGCATTACTATTCTAAAACATTCATATAATTTCAAATCAATACAATGTAGTTCTGTCTAAAAAGTGTTCAAACCTGTGGATAAATGGGTCTAGCAGTGTGAAGACAGTCTCCATCCATACAGGTACCGCAGACTCCAGTCCTATCTGTGTCTTAGTGTCCAACAGCTTCCACTCATTACACCTGTACATAAATATATAACATACATGTATCTGAGAAGTTTGTGCATGTTGAACTTCTCCACACTGTAATCCTGAAATTTAGAGACACCAAAAAAAATTACATCACATCAATAAGCCCATACAACTGCTGTGAGAATATTTCATTTTTCAACTATCTCCCCTTAATCAGACCAATAATCTGTCACAAAAATATTGCAAACAAATTTTGATTGTAAATCATCCAATAGATGATATACATGCTTTTTTTTACTCTTGATTTACATGAATTTACTGTATGAAATTTGACACCTGTTTATGACTGGCACAAGAACTTTGGCCACAGACTCTTTAAAATGGGGACACTGCGTCAAAACTTTGGTGATGACAGAAAACGTCTCGCCAACTTTCTCATGATCAAGACTGTTGTCAGTGTTTCCTTTTGATGATGAGTCAGTCGTTACACTTTGAGTCAGAAACAAGATGGGTAGGGTGAAATCCTTCATGATGAAAGCCTACAGTGAAAAAAATGTATCTTAATAATCATCAAAATTATAACAATGCATCATCTTCATTGAATTTCGTAAAAATGACTGTATACCAACCTGCAGCACTTTTGCCCAATCAATCTGTGGCTGAGATAAAAGAAGTTTGCAGTGAAAGTACAGGGCAGTGGTTGTCCTCATATCAAAGTAGCTGAAATAACAAATTAATTGTGATACAATTCTACATAAGGCAATGCATCTGTTTTCATTACAAAATGTATAAACAGTTACATACACCTGTCAGTATTTATTTTTCATTTAAAAGTTTGTAATGTGTCATTTTCATTAATTTCATGCACTATATTTTAAAAACTTTTCTATAAAGGATGTTCTACATCTAGATCAATTCTTCAAAATATTTTCACAGCAAACAATTGCAAACTAAATTATTTGGCCATAACATTTATTTCTTACTTAAAATACAATGCATTGAACCATCAAATATTTGAAAACATTTAATAGGAAGTCAAGAATCTCAAGCAATCATTTTATTATTTTTTTAATGTTCAAGTACATACTGTTTATGTCCAGCCTGAAAAATGGTTGGTTGTATCCATGACAACCAGTTGGTGTTGGAACCCATGACCTTGGCTGTAGGAGATGACAATCCAGAAAGAGGCTGTTCAGGTAACTCATGGAAACCCCTTTTATAAATCCTGAATAAACAAACAAGATCAAAATGCAAAGGTCTTACATTTTTGGAGGGAAGTGTTTACAACATAAAGTGTACTTCAAAACACATTTTCAAGTATGAATTGATAATTAAAGTTTCTAAAAATTTTCTACTAAAATTATGAAATTATGAATTTTTAGTATTCATGGAATATTTGTTAACAACATAAAACTGAAACCACCATATATACTCGCCTGAAAGTCATTCCGCCTACAAGTCATTTGTACTTTACAAGCTTATATATCAGAGGGACTGACCTCATAAAATCCCATTCTTCTTATACCTTGCCTATAAGTCGGACAAACAGATTTGGACCAGAGATTAACTCCCAAAAAACCAACTTAAAGGCGAGTATACATGGTAATTTTACAGTATAGTCTGTGTAAAATTTGAATAATTTATTTCATTATCAGTTTATTTTTCTTTTCTTACTTGTAAAGTATTTCAAGGGGTGAAGCCACAATGGCCATATCTGCTAGAAGTGTGGAGCAGAAGTTGTGTATGCTGTAATGAGGGAGCTGGGATGACCCAGGGTCAAGATACATGGAAACTGAATTGCATGCTGGGAAAAGTAATTCACTGGCACACAACAAAATAGTGATGATGTCAGATCTGTGGAAAACAAGATATACATTTAAATTAATTCTAAAAAGTCGCCAAGATATACTGAATTAAACTGAAATTCCAATATTATTCACTTTCATATTTCTATTCAAGCTTATGACTTTATTTACACAACTTTTAAGTTGATAGAAAATTGAAATCTTTTTGCAAAGAATTTAATTAAATATCCAAACATATTGCAGACGTCCTTTTTTCCACGGGGTCAAAATTCCGCGGAATATCAATTTCTGTTTAATCAGCTTGTAGAAAATTACATGGATTTCCTAGACTGTCACTATATGCTTTACATTTATATTAAGTATGCTTCGACAAATTTCTGCGGAAAATTTGTGAATGCGTACACAGCGTAAATTAATACCACACGGATAAAAGTACTTCTACAGTATTTGACTCGTTTTATTCTAAATGACAAGCATCTTCACCGTTATTACCTGAACTGAGAAGTTCTGCGATAGCTTGGCTTGGATTGGGAGTATCTCTGTGACAGAATCTGTATGGAGTTCTGAAGCACCTGTCCAAATAAATCCTGAGAGAGACGCGGTGGACAAATGGTCCACAAGTCGTGGCGGAGTCCTCGCATGTGGTAGTTCCACATCTGTACAGGGAAGGAGCAACGCTCACCCTGTGGTGAAAGACCAAGAATTAAAATAGCACACATAAAGACATACATTTTACAAATGAACACATCCAAATGGCAAATGATAGTACTATAAAATTTCAAAATAATCACGATTCAATCAGTATTTCATTATACATGTATTTCAAATAAAATATATAACATAATAATGATGCATATTTTTTGGCAATGCAACATGTGTAAGGTGCCCAAGAACAAGTGTTTATATATATGACTTATGACATTTGACAGATTAACAGACCTCCTGGAATTCTTTGTTATCCTTCCAGTTGTAACTTTCCATGTCCTGTAGAACACTGGTGGCCATGTAGTTATTATGGATCTCAACAGTCAGCTTGAACAGGGAATCCACCAACTCCATGTAATTCTTATGCAGAGCAGAAAAAAGTTTCTTGCTAAAATAGGGAAAAAATTTATTCATAACAATGTAGGATAGGAAAGGCCCAAAGGCTATTTTGTTGTTTTAATGGTATGCTCACTTCAAAAACATGTACATACAAATGTATAGTGGTATGTCACAACTTTATTACTAGTAAATGATTTGCTAAATTCTGATGGAAAAAAAAAACTTGATCCGAGCATATACAATACATGGGTGTGATCAAACAAAAATAGTGTCAGCTATATCATAAAATAACAGGAAAAAAGTCTGCTTCCAATATAAAGAGGGTTTTGTTATAACTAGAGATCTAAAATCTGCCACTGACCTGGTCTCTTCTCCTGTGAGCACCGCCTCGTAGTGTTGTAGGTGGTTCTTAATGTACACAGAGCTAGCCAATAGAATGTAGAGGCTCTGCATGGGGGCATTCCGAGGGATATCACTGCACAACTGAACAGGAAAAAAACATAAAAAAAACATAAAAATCAATACATTAACAATGTAAAGTGAATGTGCTATTTATCAACTATACTAAATTTAAAGACATTTGTACTTTTATGGTGCACTGGAGAAAAGTATATTACCATCCAATAAGATTTGTCCAAAATACAAGAGTGCAAACTAAGCATATCAAAATCTGTCATATTTCTTGGAAAAATGACTTTTTACATGAAAAGCAATGTTTATTGTAGTTATGTCTTGTTTTTGAAGGGTTTTGATATCATTCTTTACATACCTTTGTGAGGTGAACGTGGAAGTTCTGTAAACAGAGATTGATAGCATCCACATAGGCCACCCTAACACAATTTAAGATGGAACCATCTGTGCCTGCCCTCGCAAAGGGCAGCAGAAAGTCAAGCTCAGTCATGAAGTCTGATACCGACTAAAATCAGAATATTGACAGTAAAAATATTAAAGGCTACAGAAAACTTTAACAAGGAAGAGTAAAAAAAAATTCCTTCAAAGTAAGACTGATGAATATATATGTAAATAATATGTGAATTTTACAAGTTCAACTCAGATTTTTGTTCAAATCTTTTCCTAATGGATATTTAATACACGTACATATATTTTACAATATTCCCTTGCATCAACACAAAATCTTCATCTTTACATTTATTTAAATGCACATATATACATAAATCTGTATAAAATTTTCACAAAATATAGACCCTTCTTTGTAAAATACCTTAGAAATGCATTTTGGATAATCCAGCTTGCCTCCCCACAATTCCTGTGGTACAGGTTCGGTGTGGAGGACCCCCACCTGTCCCCAGTCTCTGAGCTCAGAGTCCAGGGTTGTTTTCAGAAGGTTCCGGATCTGCTGCCCCATAAACTTAGACAGATCCGGCGCTATCTTCTTAAACATCAGTTTCCATTCCCATCTCAGTCTCTCCTCACCTCGAGTTCTCTCCACCACTGCAAATAATCAAGTAAGTGATTTTTTTTCACTATAAGACACATAGGTAACCAAAGATTATAAAGATCACCTCTGCAATGAATGTTATCTTATAGGAAGACAAAGTCACAAACTAAGCAAATAAATTTGGCTCTGTACATCAATAAATGCATCTTCAATGCAAATTTGGTAGCCTAAGACTTATTGTCACTTAAGAATGAACCTGCTCCAAAAACTTTAATATTGTAATACTGTGGTTTCATCAATTTTCGTTGGCATCAATTTTCGTGGATTTTGTTAAACTGACAGTTTCAAGGATACGTAATTTCATGGACAAAAGCATTTCCTATACAAGTGAATTTCATGAACATTTGAATTCATGAATGAACCTGCTCCAAAAACTTTAATATTGATGAAACCACAGTAGAATAACTTGTTTAAACTGTTCTTCACATTTGCTGGTGTAATCCATTTGATAGACATGAACAAGACCCACCTTTGGGGGCAGGTGTACTGTCAGAGAGACTTGAAGGCATGGATCCAAAGGAGGTGTTGAAGCTTTCACTGAAGGACAGGTCATCTGAGGTGTAGCTGAGGGGTCTCCTCTGCATCTCAGGACTGGAGCTTGTCTTTAACACACCTGTAATAAGTATCAACATAGGTATCACATACATGTAAGATGAAAATCAACATCAAAAGGTAGATATAAATAGAATAATAAATTCACATCTGCAAATACATTTATCCATTTGTCAAATTGATTTGCTATTATTCAGTCTCTTTTTCATGATATGCAGTAATATTTTGTACAATCATTAGAGTTTAGTCCTTTGGGACATGTTGTAATGTGTTACCTCTAAGACTGCCTTTCCGCTTGACCCTTTTACTGGACACCCCAGCAGGATCCCAGGCTGCACACCTCAGTAGAATTTCTACATGTTCTTCTATGTGTAACACCGATGTGACCACATCTAAAATGGATTCCATGTAAACTCTCGGGAGACTTGGATCACTAGCATTGCTTTCATCAGGTACATCCTGTGCAGCATTATGGGATTGATTGGAGGTCAGCTGATCTTTTGAATTTTTTCTAGGCTTGTTAACAATATCTTCAATATCTTCCCAAATATCTTCCACAAGTGCTGACATCTCATCTGAGAACTTCTCCAGGTACATGTCATGCATAGCCCTAGCAGTATTGAAAGCCTTCTTAAAAATTCCCGAGTTAAAGATCACAAAATCTTCATCAATCATATTCAGTATAATATCTGACAACTCCCTGCAGTTTTTGGTAATCTCCATGGAACTGTACTGTTCCGAGTCTATCTCAGGCAGTAAAGTCTCGAAGCAGCGCTCCAACTGCTGGGATCTCAGTGTCTGATACTTGATGAGGATATCATCAGAAGAGAACAGAGCCAAGAGGCTGTGGATATACTCAATTCGTTTCCCTTCAAAAAGATCTAAATCTGGCTTTGTACTGTCGATGGGGAGCTTCTGTAACTTGTCTGTAAAGTAGCGCCGGAGGTGAAGGGAGATCTGATCCCACTGCTGAGCTATCTGCAGTTCCAGATTGTCACTCACTGCATTGACTGAGGTGACAGACTGCATGGGATTTGATCCCTGATGGGATTTACAGGGCAGTGATAATCCTTCATTAGAGGATAATGAAAGGAGATCCTGTAATAGTTTTTCTTCACTGCCTGGATGATTTTCTAGTACAGATATCTACAAAACAACAGATTTACACTTAATCACACTGGAAAAGTACATCCATCAATATAACAGCCATATATGGGTATTTTTATGTACCAGTTGGTTTGATTCATTGACAAGATATAAACTGCCTATTTTTTATGCTTAACTTTTATCAGCACAAGATATAGCAGCATAGCTAGATAGCATAAATGAACACTATTGATCAAACTCCTTAGTCCTCAAATCTATTAGCTTTCTGAATCTATATCAATGAAGAACAGCATATAGATATCAAATCCTTTTCATCAGAAATACCTTATTCACTCTAATTTTTATCAATGAAACAGGTGGATGTCAGAAAATCAAATACAGGGAATAGGATGGATAGGTAATCCTGAGAGTCTATATAAAGAGGAGGAAAAGTGTAATGCATATTTCTTTATATATATAGTTTGTTTTTTCTCTATAAAACTTACCACATGACTGAGAATAGTGAGGACATCCTCTGCCTCAGGATCATAACAGGAGTCTTTCTCTATGATGTGAGTACTAATTACATTGTTAATGGCCTCCTTAGGACTGGCAAACTGCTTGTTTCCTGGTAAGTTGTTACATGTTCTCAGGATGTCATGAAGACACTCATCCATCCTGCAGAAGAAAATTTTGCAAAACAATGAGTCGTGATGGTTTTATTACTGTAAAATTATGAAATGAAATAAAACAGATTCATAAATGACAGACATATGTATGTGTAAAACAAGTGCTAAAAAGAATATCCCATGGTTTGTGGTTGGATACAATTTTTTTTATCCAACTTATTGTGTTGAACTATGCAATTCTTTGGATAAAAAAAAACCATAGGAAATCTTATACCTGTAAGTGCCATCACTTACTTGCGGCTATTTTCCTCCAAATGATTATCAAGGTCGTCTATATAAGCTGTGAGCACCGCCTGACTTGGGGGAACACTCTCTAGCAGTGACCTGACCGGTGGGACTGTCATAGTTTTCAACATCTCCATTTCCTTCTGATGAGATTTTGAACTTTGCTTGTACAGTCTATCCATGCCTCAACTAAAAGTTCTGAACTGAAATAATATAAAAATGAATTTTTAAATCCTTATTATAATATGAAGGCATGCATCTCATTTCCTTTGTAAAATGGTCTATTCATGAGGGTTAATCAAAACAATGATTTTTACTTTAAAACAATGTACTGTATACAGTTTTTTTTTTTGCCCTTTCACACTTGCAAATATTTTTGCCCTGTCTTAAAGTCACCCTGTCACAGTTTTGTTTAAGACGTTATACTGTATTCTTTGAATTTGCCCTGATTTAAATTCACCCAATCGAGTGTAGGGCAAAAGAGGCACACACACTAAAATAAGTAGGGCCCCTTATACAGTATTTCAATTGCCATTTACTGATTAATTGCTAGTAGATACAGTACTTTATCTTTTTAGGGTAATTAAAGGTGAAAAGACTACTAAGTCTGTAGTTGGCCTATGGTAATTCACATAGAGTTAGAGAAGTAACAATAATTTGAGTACAAATCCCACAGGCACTTGTTTTGTATACGGGCACCCCTACTTATTTTCACCATAAGGTTCCTAACACAGTTTCCGGCACACCGCTTCAAGCTTGTATTTTGTTACGAGCTTGATGCGGGGGTTACTGAAATTGCATGAGTCAAGTACATTGTGGTAATAATAATTAGGGATGCCCCGTAAGGTCCGTATACAAAACAAGTGCCTGTGACACAGCCTCTCAAGCAGATGCACTTTGATGAGGGAGTTTTACGCATTGTTTTCAGAAGTTAAATTAATGAAGATTATCACTGCACCATGATGTTACTTTTTGTACATGCTGAAAATGCAATGTATAAAACATATGAGATAAATGTGTGACAAAATAGCTATATCAAGCTATTCTGAATAGTTTAATAAAGCTATACATGTAAAGGTAAATCAATCTTTATAGCTAAATTAATAGACCTGGATATAATCAGATCAAGTCATGCATTGCAGGGGGACACAAGACAAGTATCATTTTTCAGTGTTTTTTGCAGAACCACGACTTGTGCGGTATTTACTTGAATCAGACACATTTCTAAATAAAATAAAACCTTAAATATCCATATAACTATATTCATTTCCCCTCTAAATAGGGATATCTTAAGCAAATAACACCATCATTACCATAGGCATGGAGATTTGTTTACATATCGGAAGTAAATAAATTGTTATAAAATAGAAAACCAATATTGGTTATCTAGTTTTAGGTACGACTTACCAAAACAGGTGAAGTTTTTCTTTTTTTATTTATTATATATCATCAACCCTTGTCATTTTCTATTACCTGCTTGCATATTTTTGTGCTGATATAGTTTGTATAGAGTCCATATTGCCTTAAGGTCTTCTTGTGTTTCAAATAAATAAGGTTGGACACTTCTCAGGTCATGCCGAATTTCCTCGTTTTCTTCATTTTATTGGGAAATTATTTCTTGTCCATAAAAATTTTTATTTAAAAAAAAAAAATAAAGAAAACTTGTTTTATGTTGTTAAAAATGTGTTTTGTTTTGATACTGTTATTTTTTTTACCATTAATGAATACTATTTTAATAAAGATTTCTTCAAATAAAAAAAAAAGAGTAACATAGGCCTAATATATTATATGTATTGAACATTGGTTTTAGAAGGGTCATAAAAGCGACAGAAGACGGGGTAAAAAGTGCAAGAAAGTCCAGTCCTAGTGCTGTCGACGGGATATAAGGGGACTGCAGTAAAAATAGTAACCAAGGTCGGCATTATTAATTTTGTCAAGTACAAGTTAACATTATACGGGAAGATTTTAAGATATACTTTATCATGCCTTTCAGATTACTTCAAGCTGACCACACAGAAAATTTATTCAGTTATACAAACAATTATATATACAGTTTGAATTAGTCTGGCAATCAAAAGGTTGTAGTTTTGAAAGTTTCAAGAAATCCATCTTAGTATTATTAGTAAGGTTCAATTCCCCTTTTAATTGGAATCGGGTCCATTAATCTTTAAGATTGAACAGACTTTGGGAGACATAGTTTCAGGATGAATAGACTGTGGGTGAACAAAAATTAGAGTAAATGGTGTCAAGAGCAAATGCATTTTAGGGAAAAGGATTAACACAATGATTTACCTTAGTGAGAATATATGAACCATTTTCAAATAAAGTAACCATGGCCTTTACTTTGTTCTTGATCTAAATATTTTTCACATACAAATTTAGAAGAAGAAGTAAAGTGTTCATATTTGAAATTGCAAATTTATTTTTTAGATGTCAATGCAAACTCAGGTAAAGAAGTTGTCACGTTTTGGTTTGGACTTTTTCCGAGGACGGAACATCTACGGCCAGCTTGGAGCTGTAGGAACAACAGTAGTTATATTACTTGTTCTTAGAGAAGAGCTCCACTGGAGAAAAGAAACTAGTGCTTCCCACCTTAATGCTAGGAGATGGGTAAGCATATTAATTTTACAGAAAATATAATTATAAACATTTTTTAAACAATTAACATAAGAGGCTTGACTGCTTAAACATCCTGCATTGAAATATGCCTTTGAATTTGATTTGCAGGGAAATAAGTTGTATATAATATTTGTAGTTTGTTTATAGTTCTAATAATTTAAAGTACTTTGTACATGTACATGTATTCATTTTGACCCTCCCAAATGTTATCTAGAGGTTTTTCCCAAAGTGTGAAATAGACCCGTACACATGTAAATCCTTCTATCTACTCATATAAAAGTTTGCTTTCTTGCTAATGATTCGTCCATGAAAGTTTTAAATCTCATTTAAAAAATCAAATAGAAAGTGTATATGTTATATATACTGAACAAAAAAAGAAACGCATAATCAAAATAATATGAAATTCTAAGTTTTCAGTTTAAACCTTGTATTATTTAAGCGATTTTAGAGTGTGTTGTGATAAAAATCAATGTTGCAAATTGAAAATTCAAGTTGAGGTCATTTTCATTGCCCCCAAATTCAAGGGGCATAACAATATGTACTGTGCAAAGTCTCAATGCTAGTGGGTTTCCAATGTACGGATATCGTGGTGGAATATCATCTCATTTTAGTCTCATGCGAACAATTTATGCATTTTTATGCTGATTTTTTCATCCAGCAATTGTAGCAGCAGTTTTTACAGCAAGTTCTGAATCGCATGAGGTGATGAAGGGGGGGGGGTGTCTGGTGACGGTCCTGCCTGGTTGTGGTTACCTGCACATGGCCAGATAGTGGTCTTCCGACGTTTTTTAAGGTTGCAAAGCCCATTGATTTATTTCAAATACAGTTGCAACTTCCTGTTGCGTAGCTCCATTTTTTTAGTATCATCGTTAGCCTGGTTGTATTCATCTTTGTTTGGGCGTGGCATTGCAGCTGTAGTATTAACACTGCAATCAAATCTTAAATATGGGTTTAATAGAAGTGTTAAAAGTTTCTCTAAATCCAAAATATCAATGAAAATAGACATCTGATTTAGAAGAAATCTTGAAAAACAGTACTTTCATAAACATGTTTAATCAAGGGAGATAATTCAACACTTGGGTTTTAAAACCCCATGCTGTCCTTTAAAAGGGTCACAGGTATCCAATGATGTAAAAAATAGTTGTTTCATGTACATTTTAAAAATTTCTTTGACGAGTAAAAGAATATGCGTTTCTTTTTTTGTTGAGTATATATGGATTTAGTATTATTTAGCATAGATTAAAAAAAATAAAATCATTTAAGCAATGAATCATTATTTTTTGAAAGATATAGTCTCATAAATGCAAAAGTGTGTGCAAACAAATTGATTAGCGTGTGTCAGCGTTTTTTTGCAAACACTGTTGCAGTTATGAAACTACATCTTTCAAAAAATAATGATTCATTGCTTATATTTACATTTTTTAACTCTCTACCTTGACTGCAAATGTGATTAATATTTAAAAACCTATGTATTATTATTATATTATCCTTCCTGTAAGCTACAGCTAATGGATGAGCCAACATAACAGCTTCTGGTCAATGATTTTTTTGTGTGGATTTTTTGATTTTCACTCATGACGTTGCATTTCCTGGGTATTCAACGTTTGTGACGTCAAACTAAAACCCATGCTTTAACCTTTTGACACCTTGTCCGTGTCATGGTGTTTTGAATGCAATAGATTTCCATTCACTTTATATGCAAAAAAACATGTGTAATGTAAATATTTCTTTTTACAGCTGAATAGAGGGGAACAAGTACAACAGCCTGCAGCAGCAGCAACAACGACTTGATGTGTGAAGAAATTATTTATAAATATGTAGATAACATTCAAAAATGTGTAAATAAATTTGTGAAATATGAAATTTCTTTATTTGTTTTAATACACATGTAACTCTAAGAAATGGTGAATCAAGCACTAGGAGATTCTGATGCCTACTGTAGTAATGAGTGTCAGCCAACCAGGTGGAAGAATGCATTGCGACCATGATGTCAATGAAAGGTTCAACATGTATAATATGAGTTGATATAGTGATTAAGTAAAGCTAATTAAGGTCTGGAGGATGCTAGTACATCTACTTGAACATCTGGATATTCTGATATCCTAATCAGTATACAGGGTTATTATTACAAAGTGATTTTTTTTTTTGCTCTTTTACACTTGCAAAAAGCAATTTAGTCAGTAACAGGAAAGGAGAAAATGTAAGGCAGGACTGGGAATCGAACAGGGATTCCTGCATCTCCAGTCAAGTGCTCTACCAACTGAGCTATCCAGGTCGATATCCACAGCCCAAAACATTACAAGTCTATTCCACACTTTGCAAAAGTTGTGTCCCTTTGCGGGGTCAATCAAAAGGGAAAGGTATAACATTTCCCAAAAGATGGTGACCAAGGGGCATAACTTTTGAAAAATGTGGATTCAACTGTGGGCACTGATTCTTGATTATAATGGCAAGCAAAGTCCATGTTTGCTCCAAGTGATAGTCAGATCATAAAGTAAGATAGGTCTTGATGGCATTATGTAATAAAGAATCCTTGAAAGTATTATTAACTTTTATTCAGTGGTATAGGAGGAGTTGTGGATGAGAGATGGGTACCCTTTAATATTATTGAAAGAATGGTTGTGTCCATGTTTGGTATGGAGACTCAAATATTTTTAGTTGGGGGGGAGGGGCCATTAGATGTTTTATTTTGGGACACAAGTATAAAAATATAGTACATGTAGCTAATTATTCTATAGTATTTTATATATCGAGAATTATTAGTTGTCCCCTGGTTCATATGGCCATGAATCCCAAAGAAGTCAAGGTCAAAGGGAAGGTCCAGCTAAATCAGAAATGTTTATGCAGTTTAATAGCCATTGAAAGTATGTAAAATATATCTCAAGGGCTTCGAAGAATGGGATGGGACAAAAATATAATGGGATGTACACATGGTACCCATACCTCAATATTTAAGATTTATATCATCAAATTACATTTTATTTTTGGTAAAAGTAGTGCTGCATTTGGGTATCAATGATTAAATGCATGCAAAAAATAGAGTAAAATTTAGACTAATATACAGTGTAAGTTAGAGAGGTCAAGGTCAAAGGAAAATTCAAGGTCCGAAAATGTTGAAATGTTGAATAGCTGTATGTATCCAGCATATGAAGTATAATAATAAATTCAATTAATGTTTTATTAATGCCTTCAAAAGTTTCTTTGAAACCAATTTAGAAAAGTGAAGTCATGGTCAAATTAAAAGTCAAGGTAAAAAGTGTTAAATTGATGAAGTTGAATGCTAGTAGTTCTCAGTTTGTATTAGAGTGTAAAAGGATTGATACAAATATTTTTAACTGTTTCTTTGAAATTGTACTAAACATAATTTTAAAAAATTGACCCGAGTTAAAGGAAAAGAAAGATCAAAATTTAAAAAAAAAGTTGATGCACTTGATGGCTCTCATCAATATGTATCAGCAATTTTTAAATTTTGATTAAAATATCTTGCATAGTTTCTCTGAAACTAAGCTAAAACGCAAAGTGTGACGGAAGGACAGAGGGGCAAACACTATAATCCCTAGTCTTTAAAGAAGTGCATGGAAAGCTTTAATTTCTCATACGTCCACTTCTCGTGGAAGAAGGGGAAAGCCTGTGCACTTTTCTAACTTGGACCATATTCATATCATGATATGACTCCAATTTTAAAAGTGCTGTCCTGTTCTTTCGTATCATC